TTGCCTTGTACAAGGCTCGGATGCGCGCTGCGTATACTTCTAAGTCATTTCTCGGTTCTTCATTTCTCTCGAGGGCCTGCCATAGGCGCATATTATCGGTCACAATAATCTTGCTCGCCCTCTTGTCAATGAAGTCGATCGCCGACTTGTATTTGGCTAGCAGCTTGTATGCTCCCTGAATTTCCTTGTACGAAGCCAGGTTCGTCAACGTCTTGGTTAGCGGAATCGATTCCGTCATCACCGTTTGTTCGTTGTACTTTACCACCATCCCTGCTTGTGTATCCGACGCGTCGACGTATATTGAAATCGTATTTCCCTCTGTTGGTCGTATCCGTTCGATCGTCCAACTAGAATCGACTGCGTCTATCAAGTCTTTAACTACGTTCGTTACGTGCTTTGTCTTCTGCAATATTTGTCGAATCTTCGTAAGCGAGTTTCGAACGCCCGTCCTGTGGATCATCTTATAGTAGGACAGTTGATGTGTTGCTCTCGTTATACCATCTACGCACTGTGAACGTAACAGTTTTCGTATTTGCTCTGCCTTGTCCTTGGGTATACCAATGGACTCTTTCGTAAATTCGTAGCCGAGTATTATCAGCTTAGTGTTCATCGACGACTTCTCTCTGTTTATCTTGAAGCCGTATTCGCATAGGTGACGTATCACTCTATGATATCGGTCTGCGCACTCTTTTCTATTCTTCCCCGCGACGATAATGTCATCCTGATAAGATCTTACAGCTGTCTTATCATTGTCGGATAGCTGCCCCAACACTTTCATCATTACTACGGCGAAGTGTTTGGGGGCACACATTGCACCCATTGGCATGCGTATATATCTATACGTCGTGCCGTCCATACCCATGAACGCATAGTAGTTCATTTGGTCGTCCGCAATCGGTATTGCATGAAAAGCTTTCGACAAGTCGATCTTCATGATCTCTTGCTGTCCTGCCGCCCATGCGATAACTGGTCCGATTGTCTGCATGTTCGGGAACTTGCCATTGTCGTTCGTATAAGGGTATAAACACTGGCAATTGTGTGTCACTCTCTTGCCGACAACGTGCGGGTTTAGAATGGCTTTCGCCTCAGATCTATCGATCTTCTCTATCGTACCATCGTACAGTCGATCTCGAATCCATTGTTCGTAGATCGTTGCGCATTCGCCAGTAAAGCGGGGTTTCGTCCAGCGAATCGCCGGCGCCCCATCTGGTCTTCATCGGGGAGAAAATCCCAAACGTTACCGGCGTTTTCAGAACACCTAGCTGGGGATCCAACGATTCGTTGGACTAAGCCGCGCTTTACGGGTGAGAACGCTGCGATTTATGAACAATGGATACGTGACCGACTCGAGGATCACACCATTGAGATGGTCGACAGAGCGATGGTGAAAGCCATTCTAAATCCGCATGTTGTTGGCAGACGAGTCACGCACAACTGCCAATGCCTATACCCGTATACGAACGACGAGGGCAAGTTCCCGAATATGCAAGCGATTGG